TACTCCCCATGATCCAGCCTCTTTTTTAGGGTCTCATGTACCCACACAGATCTCTGTTTATCTGCTGACAGCCTCTCACCCTCAAACAAGGGCTACTTTTTTTTACTATTGGCATTCAATTAAAAAAAAAGGCAGCGCAACAGTTGCATTAGAGAATCTTCGGCTCTCATTGGTTGGGTTGGGTCGGTACGAAAAAAAAAAAAACGGTCCAGTTTTTGTGACAAACCGCATCAAGTCGGTAATACCAGATTTTTGCCACTTGGGGGCGCAATTGACTCATTTAAAATAAAAAACGACCATAGGACAACAGAGTGACAGTAACACGTTGTTTCTTTCATTCCTTACAAATAAATTTGCAGGTTTAGTCAGTGCAAACAAGGGTTGCCTCCTTCGTCTGGCTCAAAGCCAAAGTGTTGCCATATTGGCGCATTCTTTTATTTCTTCGAGACTAAATTGTCCGTCATTACAGACTCCCCGTCACTGTTAAACAAACTCCAGGCTACAGTAGAGGCCTCGGCGCATGCGCACTCGCACCCCCTAGCTCAGTCCCCGCCCCACCCCCACCCCCCTCTCTCTCCTGCTCGCTGTGCACTTGGAGAAGAGGCAGACACAGGTGCTCACAGACTCGGGCGTACTATAAGCAAAGGCGGTAATCCAGTATCTTTGCTATAAGCAGAGCAGACTCCGCAAGGAATGTCGGCAGTCATTCAGGATTCCATAGTCAGTCAAGCGCACTTCCGCGTTGTAGTTTCCTGTAAAAATGTCCGTGAAAAATCCCCGCGATGTGAAAAATACATGCCAAGCAGTCTTTTTTGTGACACTGGTGTGCACGGTTGTAAAATCTGAGCTTTGCGTGCACAGGGCTTGTGGACGTCCGCTTTTAGTCCGGGCGGACCTCCGCGGAGTTTTTATTCTAGCTATCCTAGAGGTCAGTACGAATTACCTTGGACCCATGGAGGAAACTCATTTCAGCGGATTCTATCCATAATGTCATTCTTTCGGTCACTACCCAGAGCTCATGACCATATGTGAGGGTCTGGAATAGAGATGGACGAATAAATCGAGAGCTTTGCCTTCCGGCTGAGCACCCTCTTTGCCACGATGGTTTGGTGCAATGCCTGCATCACTGCTGACACCTCACCAACTGCCTTCCACAATCTTCTTGCTGAGGACCATGGCCTCAGACTCGGAGGTGATGCCTCTCTTTTCAAACTTGGCTTCAAACTGTTACGTAACAAACTTCCTTATTACGACCCAAACCACAATTTTTTCCTGAACCTAACCACGCAGTTTTGGTGCCAAAAGTGAGACTAAAACCCAACCAGACCGTTTTACAATGTTGGATAAACACCTTCTGGCCTTCTGTTAGGTGCAGTGTGTCCTGTCTGAAACCTTATAATGGCAGTGACAGCAACTGATAACCTCCATTTAATGAGCTGATAACATCTACTGAAGGTTGCTCTGTATTATCTATCGTCAGTGATGTTGTTGTGCTGAGAGAGCTCTGCCATTACCTTGGTGAGTTGCATATCGTATTGTGACTGGTGGATGTATTTCAGAAAGCCAGTGTTTGAACCAGGACGTAGATGAATGCCTCCTTCTGGTGATAATGGTTCTATTTTCAGGAAACCAACCCTGAATGTTGTTTGGATTATTGTTGCCATAAGCTGGTAAGTAGCACCAATGAATGCCCAACTTTTAAATTTCACAACAACAGAGACTGTCAGACTGACTTATATTGTTGTTGCTGAGTAAAGTTGGCATCTGTGACAGTTTAACAGCTTCTACCTCAAAACTTCTCCACACCAAACAATCTGCGCAGCTTTGCACTCGCTCTCTGTTGTAATAATCTCTCCTTCTTGTTATTCGCTGTCAGTAAACACTCATCTGGGGTTGGCTGATGGTGATGAGAATGTGCACGACACTGGCTGCTGCAGCCATGTTTGCCATCAATGCTATCTGTGCTTGTCTCAGTAAAAAGCAGTTTCAGTGACATTATCTCTGCTGGCTTCTTATTCTTCCTTTCCCATTGCCTCATTCTTCTCCTCCTCATGAATATTACAGCACGAGGCTGCAGAGAGCAATATGCGCCGCAGCAGATAAGAGTCTGACTGTTTGTGTTTAACACTTGAAAGTCAGGAAGAACGTCAGCTGATGGCCGGTTTCCAATGTGAACGATTGAAGTGACTCAGCTTTCATCCCTTCGCTTTCTGCGTAATCGCTGTTTACATTTTCAAAAGAGAAGTGTAAAAATGGCAGGTATAATCATGTCGCTGTCAAGTGATTTTCACTTCAGTCGAAGGATTATGCTTTTTTCTGTTTTTGTGTTTTCTGACCTGCTGCGATTATGAAAACCATTCAAATCGGACAAGGTCAAAATGCATCTTCCACAACCAAAGAAAAACAGCATGACAGCTTTGCTTGCTGCATGAAAACATGACATTTTGGGGATAAAATATTTTTAACACATCCAACCGTCACCTGGTTGATCTCCTCTCAAACAGCACAAACGGATGCTGCTTTTGTAAAATCTAAGTGTATTTAACTTTTTAGTTGTTTCTCTTTTGCTTTATTCTGTCATGTTTCATTCATCTAATGTTCTTCCTGTCTTTTTTCTGACATCAACCTTCAGGACTTCATGAGCTGCACGAGACACATAAACTATGTTTTTATGATTCTGTTATTCCCAGTATGAATCAATTAGTTATTTGGCATTTACAGCTTATTTTAGATTTGTACAGAAATTTCTCAAATTGCCAGACTGTTCAGCCATGGTCGTATTTTGCATTGTTGCAAGGTGTCAGTGGTTGGTGGCTACGGCAGGTGATTGGCGCGTATTAATGATGGCTCTCTACCTTAAGAGCCAAGATGGCTTTGGCTCTGCGGCTGTGGAAGGGCACGTCTGCCTCACCTTCCAACTGGTCACAAGCACACACACAGACTGAATGAAGCATTTGCCATGCTGATGGCTTTGTTTGGCTGGAGGTAGCAGGGATGGACTGCCTATTTAGTTAACCTTGGTTTGTCGTGTGTACTTACACTGTACTTGAAGGTCAGTGGTTGTTTTTTTTTTTTTTTTTTTGTTTGTTTGTTTTTTAAATTTTCCTCAGGTTAGATAGGTTGCTTCTTGAGTTTAGGGGTGTTTTGCTTTCTTTTGTTGGCCTTGGTCACCCAGAATTCTGACCAGGAACCCAATATATTCATCTATGATTGTGAATAAATTAGACTGTTTGCTTATTAAGTGATCTGTCTTTGCGGCTGATTGGGACGTGGGAAGACAGGGGCTTGTTTCATGCTGTTTCATGGTCACCCCTGGACGGGGCACAACACAGATTCTGGGTCCTATTTAAATGATCTTCACTTCACTTCACTTCACTTTATTAATTTGTCCCTTGAAGGGCGATTTGGTTTGCAGCAGACAAATTCAACACATACATTCAACAGTCACAATTAGACATAAAACCTGAGTGAATTACATCAAATGCACAAAGTGCACAGTTTACAGTGCAAAGAAAGAAAGAATATAGACCACTAGTCAGCTTATATGCAGTAGCCTACACAGTAAAGTGCGTAGCAGATAAATAAATAAATAAATAAATAAAAAAATAACTAAATAATCTGTACTGTGTGGTCTAAAGTTGTGGTTCCCAAATGGTCCAACCACGGGGTCCAGATTTCTCCTTAGTCAGCAGTTCAAGATCCACACAATTTAAGATATTCAGCGTCACACTTGGCCATGTCGCCCAGCTAGTTACTGTCTCCGTCAAGTAGCTGTCTGTTACAGTGTGTTCACACCGGGCGAGAGTAAAACATTCGCCTCGCTCTACTTGCGCGAGTTTGACCGCTGGAATATTTAGTAATAGAGAGCGGGCAGGGGCAGGCAGGACAGCAGCACGTCAGTGACGTCGGTGATGACAGGAAAATCTCAACGCTGATAGGCAGCTCGGACACAGTATCAAGTGAATATTTCGCTCGAGTTCAATATTTTGAAATTGCGCGGAGAGGCGAATGATGTGAATTTCACGTGTTCACTCCATTCGCGTCGCGCCATTCGCATCATTCATGCCGCCAGCACAAATTCGCGTCTATTCGCGTCTTTACACTGACTTTGTATGTAATCTTATCGTGCGGAAAATTCACCTCGCGCCTGGTGTGAACACACTGTTAGTCACTCACTCTACAGCAGGAAACTACACTTCAAAATAAAACTCTGTGCCGGAAATTCACTGTACTTCAAAATAAAGTGTGTCTTTTACAAACTTGGCACTTTCATGAGTCACTTGCGGTCCGTTCATAATGGACTGGCAACCCACTTTTGGACCGTGACCCACCAGTTGGGAGCCACTGGTCTAAAGTGAGTGGTGCAAGTGCATTCAGGGTGTGTCCAACCACTTCTGTTAGTTAATTATAAGTATTGAAATTAAAAAACATAGCTATACATTTTATATAGAAAACAAAACCTAACTCTTAACCTCTGAAATAATCAATAAAGTTTCGCTGCTCCTCATGAATAAATGTGCACAGTGTCTCTTTTAACTGGGAGTCAGACAGCAGCTCTGCTCTGATCTCTGCTGTGTTCACATTTAGAGAATGTCGTTAATATTTTCTTCATTAATAATATATTATTTCCGACCTGCAATCTATCCATGTAACCCAATGTGTATAACAGGGAGAGTGTACGCACGCTGTAAACTTGCCTATGTAGGTGCATCTTACTACCGGAATATTGCGCCCTTTAAATAGCAGGAAGTACTGCAACATTCTGACTTTGGACCAGCTAACAATTGTTTTTGTATATTAAAGGTCAGAAAAGGTGAAAATCGGCCCATCACAACTTCAGTAGAGTCCAGGATTAGTTTAAATGTCTTGTTTTGTCCAACCAACAGTGCAAAACCCAAAGTTATTTATGATATACACTAACATAAACCAGAAAATGCTGCAAATCCTACTAAGTGTCACTTTAACACTTGAGGCATCTACTAAATGACATGAGCACATACCTAAGATGGCGATGACCTCGTCGTCCTGGATGACCTCCAGTGACCCCGACACAACGAAGCACAGGGTGTCGACGCTCTCTCCGGCGTGGAAGATCAGGTCTCCAGGGGCGCAGTGGGTGGTTTGAAACTCCACCGCCAGCGAGCGCAGGCAGCCGTCACTGGCTAACCGGAACGCAGGATGTTCGTTGAAAACCTGAGTGAGAGAGCAGGAAGTTGATATTCATCATCTGTTCTTTACAGTTATACTCTCGCTACAGTAGCAGCACCGTCTACAGCTGCCTTCACATGATTACAGGCAGACTTGCTTAGCGCTGGTTTGAGACATTTGATTGAGTAATGCAGCAGTGTTTTGAATGTTATGCATCATGCAAGTTTTACACCTCAAATTTCTAATTACTATTTAGTAGTTCTTTTATCCAGCTCCTGATGACTCTTGATGCAATGAATTGATGAACACTCATCATATTTTGTGGTTTGTGAAATTCAAAGTGATAAAAATAGTCATTCAGAAGAGAAGTTACTCATTCATGTTACAGCTGACCAACAGTTTCAAACACAGAATGTGCATTATCAGAAGTGTATTAGAAAAAGAAAAGCTTAAACACCCTCCAAAAAGTTAGCAAGTGGAAGTCTGTTGTGTTGATGTATTTGTATTCGTTAGTCTAGTTTAAAACTACTGTGTGCATTTACACAAATTTAACAGTTTTGTGCACTTTTGTCTGCATGAAATATCACATCGATATGAAAAAATAAATACTGCCCAAGCCTTCTTTAACACTTTTGGCTTTTGAAATGCTAGCAAAAGGTACACTGCAGCCCGTAGAGGACACTATCAGGCCTGTAAATGAACACAGAGGTCATATGCTGATATCAATTGACATGAAAATGAAGCAGCTTCTGCACAGTGAGATAATACAGCACAGTAACAGTGAAGCCTTCATTTGGTTTGTTCCTTATTTCACTGAGATGAGTTGAGTGTTTTCATATCAGCGCTTCCTGTCAATCACCTGAAGCTCCCGGGAAGAAATGTAAATCTCAATCAGGAAATAATCCATCAAAACCACGTTGCCTTACAAACGTCACTGTCACGACTGTGTATTTTCATAAACCGTTGTTTGGCTGGGACAGCAGTTGGCTCTCTGTCAGCAGTCCCAAACTGCAGCACGGAGACACCGAAGTGTTTGAAGTTTGAGGATTTCAAAACCCCAAAATCTTCTAATGTGACACGGTTAAACTGCACACACTATGTTTATGGGGCTGGCTGGTTTGTGATGGTTTACATCAAAAGAAAAAAGAAGCAAAAGACTGTTTGTGAGTCCGGTTTTCTTTGGAAACATGGAGTGCTCACGTACTGCTGTTTTTCAGGAACATTTTGCATTTCATGTTTTCATTCATGAAGTCTCACATTTTCAACCAGATAAAACAAACAAAATCTTTTAGTACTGGGAAAGGAATTAGTATCAGGGACTTTTATTTTTACAGACTTATTAGCATACTACATGCATGTTCATTATTTTTGTTTTTCATTTTAGTTTTTACCAGATTTTAATCGAACTAACTTTAAAAGAGCCCAGAGTGCATAATGAGCACTACATTTGCATTTCTGCTACAATTTTTCTGTCATAATTTTTATTACTAAGCATTTTCTGATGTTTATTCTTTGCAAAAGGACCTAATTTATGGTAAAATGAGGGGGGACAGTGCCTTTTTGCAAAACAATACAATGGCTTTTGGATTGTTAAAAATCTGTTTAAACTGCTACTTTTGAAAAATCCATTTATCTTTGGTGAAATTTTTCAAAATGAAAGCTCAGAGTCATCAGCTTGCCTCGAGCTCATTAAGGGGATAGCTGGGATTTTTCAAGTGGGTTGTATGAGGTACTTATTCATAGTCATTGTATTACTTACAACAGTGGCGCTGGTATCTGTAATCCTGTTCGGACTGTGCGTACATTATTTCAATGATTAATCATCCTATCTTGAAAATAAAATTGTGACAAAAGCAGCAGAACGTGTCTTTGGTTCTTTGTGACTGATGAAGGTGCACAAGATGCATTTTTTGGCTGTGTCCGCTCACTATGACGCAGTCTGCTAGCGTTACTGCTGCTAGCATTAATGTTACAATGACAAAGGCTAGTCCAGGCACCCGCATTGCAAAGCGATGAGCCCTGGGGGGAATCTACTGCTGCGGCTCCCCTCATCAGTGACTGCTGTGCGAGCTCAGAATACTTTGATGTTTTGTCTCAGGAGCAAATATCATTGGTAAGGTAAACACTGTGATGAAGATTCTCCTTAAGATGCCTGTATCCACCGCCAGTGCTGAGCGACCCTTCACTTGTTTACATCACTTGAAGACGTCATGACTGAAGAATGACTGAGTGGACTTGCACTGATGAACATCCATTATGATATTGGAAGTGATGCAGAAGCCGTTCTACCAGAGTTTGATGCAACAGGGAGCTGCAGAATGAAATTCAAATAGGTTGGAATACTATTTAATTTTCTCATGGAGGAGGTTCCTGTGTGTACTATGAAATATCATCCTGCCAGCACAACTGACTAACAATAGATGGCAGCTGGGATGCCTCCAGTTTGGAGAAGCGGCAGGGTTATCGACAGAAGCTAATAGGGCCCAACCGATTTATCGGCCGGCTGATTTAATCGGCCGATTATAGCCATTAGAGAATAATCGGCAATCGGCCAAAAGCTGGCCGATTGACGCCGATGTTAACACTTATATTTTCATCACTAATAAAATGCAGGGAATATGGTGTTAAACCTACCTCTGTTAAATTGGCAATAATAAGAAGAACTCTGGTACTGTGAACATACATGTGAATGTCTTAATTCATATAGACTTTGCATGATTATTTTATTTCCCAGAGGTTTACTGCCTTTTTGCACATAATATTTTTGATTTATTTTGTGTTCAAATGCTGCTTGTTCCACACGATTTCTGATAATAAAAGTGTTTGAAAATAGTAAAATGTTCTTCCTTCAATTTATATCTTTGTAAGTGTTAGAATTATATTTAAGCCATCAAAAGCAGGTATTTCGGGGTTTTTTAAATTGAAAAACGTAAAAATTTAATCGGCCGATATATTGGTTATCAGATTTTTTTTATTACATAATATCGGAATCAGCATCGACCCCAAAAAATCCCTATCGGTCGGGCCCTAGAAGCTAAAGCAAAGCATATTTTAGCCACCTACAAAAACTCAATATGCATTCAAGGCTCTGCTATATCAAAACTATTTTTACTTCTTTACCTTGCAGCAGACAGCCCTTTCTGACGGGGACCTGAAGCTGCTCTCTATGCTCTCTTTAAAGCCAGCAGACTCCTTTAACAAAAAGATTAATATAACCTCACAGAACACGGGAGCTTCTGGTCTACTGCTGCCTAAATCTGTTAGTTTGTGTTATTGTGCCACTTTGCTGCATCTTAAGAAACCCTTTAAAACACCAAAGTCATGCAATAACACAATCAAACTAACTGATCGAGGCAGCGGTAGACCAACAGCTCCCGTGTTGAGAGGTAAAATTACTGTTTTGGTTGGCGGATGGGATTTGAAGAGAGCAGACATAACAACTTCAGTTCCCCGTCGGAAAGGGCTGACTGACGGCGAGGTAAAGGAAAAGATATTCTAAATACAGCATGCACCTAAACTGATATTGTTATCTTTTAAAGTGGGACTACTTGTAGGTGGCTGAAATATGTTTTGCTGCTGCCCTTGTCCACAGCAGTACATTGCTTAGCTTCCGTGTTGGTACTCCTGTCTGCTCTTCAAACGACGGGCATGGCGACAGACATCTATTGTGGGTAACACACCGACTATGGATCCATCATCATGGATCAAGTTCATCATACAGCCCCACTTAAAAAAATCCTATCTATCTATCTATCTATCTATCTATCTTTATTGAGCAGCATCAACCTACACTCCTGTAAAATCACTGCACTTGATAAATAAATAGCTTGTATTTGAAATTAAATGTAATATGAAATAAAGACATTGAGGCACCATGAGCAGCAGTCCCTCTGAATGACAGGACTAATTTTAGTAGCTTCTGAGTGTTTGTCATTGGAGATGGTTGTTACACAGCTGAAGGTGTCCTTTGTCCGATGCCAGCTCAGCAGTTTGAGTCTGCCAAAGTTTTGGGTCTCATATCAGTCATGTCCAGTGATGCCCAGGAGCTTCTGACTGAGCCCATCTACTGTACCCAGTATTTAGTTATGTAATAAATGCACATGAGCACTGGCACTCAGTGTGCTCAGTGTAGTGAAATCCCACTCCAGTTTGTGTGAAGATGGCTCAATATGGTTTTTGGGGCCAACTCAGGTGTTTGGAAATGTTACTGCAACCATTAGACATCCGCCCTCTGTCTTAAAAAAGACATTCACACCTACACATTGTTTTAATCCTAGGTTTAGTTTGATGTGTGTAAGTAAGTGCAAGTGTTTGTAGCTGCACTAGTATTTGGCACCACAACCTGTTAGTGTTGACAAGATACTGGAATTTAAAATTGGAAACAAATACCTTAAAAAATGTGATACTATTTTTGATACTATGGGGAAAAATGACATTAAGGGCTAACAAGTTTTGTTTTTTTTTTAAAGATAAATATAACAAGGCTGCTACATGATGACAACAATTTTTCTCTTCTTAGTTAGCTGAAGAAAACAGCAATGAGAAAGCTCAGGTGGGACCGGTGCATCGATACCACGGATAATGAGTATCGAAACTGTTTCAAATATTTAGTATTGATGTGTATCGGTAAATTAATATTTCTGACAGCACTGCAACCTACCAAACATAGGCTGAACAGAGAGAATGATAAATGTTACTGGATGTTTTTTCTTACTCTTTTTGTTGAATCCTCTCATGTAGGATTTGTAAATGTCTAACTTTAGCACTCCTCAATGCACCATACAAAGAGCCATACATGTCCTTTTTTGCTTCTCTTTCTCACATATCAATTTTTTTGAGAAACGAAACCATGTGCCATCAGAGTAGTCGAGTACCAGGGGTGTCAAACATGTCAAATGCAGGCCAGGAGCCGCGTGCCAAAGCGTATAATCTGGTCCACTCAATGATTTTGCTAAGTAAAAAAATTGCAGAGAAGTCATTTATTCCACTTTTTTTAATTAAATGCACTGCTATTCCTGTTTGTTCAAATGAACCAGTTCCTGTTTCTTCACAGAGGTAAATGGGGAGCCAGTGTGCTCGGTGTGCTCACAGCACCTTTCAGTACTCAAGGAATATTATAGTCAGCACCACTATCAAACTCATCATGGCGAAAAATACAACACCTTGCAAGGACGCCTCTGGTCTATTAAATGGCTTTAAAAGTGTTCACATGTATTAAACTGTGACCTAACTGCATTATTATCCCCTGACTTTTCACACGGTCAAAACACAGAACTCACACCGTCCGTCCCATTTCCTTTTGTATATAGTGAAGCGCTCTGATACATCTAATGTAGGTCTGTAGATAATGCATAGATTCATACCTTCCTGTTGAGGTGGACACAGATGTCGGCCCGCATGTCCTTGGGACAGATGGATAAGACCTGGAAGACAGAGACATAAGGGGGTCAGACTGCTGTCTACAGAAATTCTCTCTCAGGACTCAACCTGGTAGAAAATAGTCACAAACAGTATTTGACGGAGGTCTGTTAGCAGCGAGATGACAGTTTAGAAGCTTTATCAGGTAGTGAGGATGTTTTTGTACTTGTGTGCTTGTTCTTCTTCTCACTGAAAATGTTGGCTTCTTATCTTATTGCCAGTGTGTGGAGGAGGAAGCGATCAGGTCATGGGTCCCAAAGACCGACACAATCCTTACAGAGCCACACATTCACGTCAGCCAAAATTACACAATTTGAAAGTTTGTAGATGTACAACTGAGTTAGCAAACCCCACTGGGACAACCAGGAAGTGGTCCTTACTCATGCCTACCATACACTACAAGACTTTTAAAAGACTAAAGTCTGACACCCTCTCACATCTAGAGACATGTTATTTGTTACAAACTTAAAGGCTTTGCAAATACTAGCGGTCCTGCAGGGTCACTGTTTTCACGACTACAACTAGATTCCCTTTAATGTTATTTCCCACCCTGCTCCTGGTGGAAAATATTATGTCAACCTCCCTTTTATGAACTATTACAAGTCCTAACTGTTTTAAAAAAAAAAAACCCACGTAACTCTAGAAAGACAAGATAAAAGACATCATTTATCTTGACAGTATTCTTGTCAGTTTGGCATTAGGTAAACTGCAATTTGTGTACAAACTTTACATTTGGATTTTGTCGCCTCACTACCAGCCTCTGTTGTTTAACTGCACTATTTTAGTGGCAGGAGACCATGGAAATGAGGCAAAGCCCTTTTAAAATTCAGATTTCTCACTAAAGTAAGTGCTGTTTGGTGGATCAGATACACAAAGAATTAAACACAGACTTTTGTTCACTCCACAACACCAGTTTCTCTTTGTTTTCCACAGAACACTAGAACCAAGACATGTTAATGTTCTTGCACCTCCCCAGAATCTTCTCGATGTTTACTGTTTGACTAGTTTGCTCCAGTTTGGATCAGAACCATTGCATTTCTCACTCAACATCTCTATTGTTGCCTTCTCCATCCTCTCTTTCCAAATCTGTAGAATAGGACAAGCCCACTTATGTGATCATGGTTCACACTTCACACACTTTTTTTTTTTCTTTTTTCTTTTCGGGTTCCAAATCAATTCATTTTTTGGTCAAAATGCTCTTAACGATTCAAACCTAGGGGCGGGAACAGGGATGGAAACCCATTCCATGTTGGTGGAAAAGGGGTACTATTGGTTGTTGACAGTGATCACATCACTGAACTTCAGAGCCAAGACGAAAAACTGACGATAATATTTCAGTCAGGACCACTTTAGTCAAAGGCAACTTTATTTCCATTTGCAATTTTATATTTAGTGATATCGTTCTGTTCTGGGACCTCTCTGCCCTTTGAAGTGTCAAAAATCGGTGCCTGGAAGTAGGCCTGTAGGCTCCCGACCTTGAACCTCTTGTCTCTTATCAGTTGTTCTCAGATGTCGATTTGATATCTTAGGCTCAGCTGGCAAATACTTAAAGAAACACTGGAAACAGGCAAAGTCTGATGCAATCAAGTTTAATGTGTCAACAGGCTCTAACACATACAACTTAGCGAGTCAGACTCCGGAGTGTGACTGAAAACCTGCTCTCAGAACCCTGACTTATATGCTGGTGGAGATTCAAATGAGTCTCCACCTCTTTTTGCTAATCTTTCCCTCTTAAGTCCAATTCTATTGGTGGAAAACCTTTCTTTGTGTCCAATTCTGATTGGGCCCATTTTTAATGGTGTAATGCAGCCTGGAATTTCCCAAGTTTTCCACCCTTAGGTTTGGTTTCGCTTTCACTCTATTTTTAAAAAACATGTGAATTTTGGGGACTTTTATACAGTCCTCAGTGCTCTTATTCATACAAGTGAACCTTTAGAATACAATATGTGAATGTGTGTGTGTATTACAACATTTGAGTATGTTTCATCATTAACCAAGACATAATGTGTTCTTTCCGGAGGTGCATACAACATGATTACATAGTCTAGTGCTATGAATACTTTGACACATACAGCAATGTTTTTATCATAATTAAATGTAGATCAAAGAGCTTTATAATGCCTTGTACATAAAAAAACATGATTATATAAGTTTCTTAATCAATTTATACATCTTAACCTTACTGCTTGATTTGTTGGCACAAACTTTTACACTACACCTTCCACGAGCCTATGTTGAAAGATGAAGGCAGAGAGAGCAAACCTCCCTGCCCTTCCATGCGCCTACATGGAAGCCTAAAGTGTCATTCTCACTGCCGCGATGCGGAAATGCGGGATGGATTTGCGGAATATTTGCGCAGCGCTTTTCCGTGTTTAAACCACAGGTGCGGTATGGATGCAGTGCGGAATATCGCGTTGTTGTGTTCCAAGTCCGCGCAGTGTAAATGGGTGTTGTTGAGCATGGATGAGAGTAGCAGCAGCGAGCTAGCAAGCTAACGTTTAACAAATGTCAACATCAACTTTCTTTAGCACTTACCACTCTCACCACAGCCACCAAGCTGGACTGCCAGATGTTGTCCTTTAATTCATTGTTCATAAAATCGTCATCGTCGTCGTCGTCGTCCTCCGCTTATCCGGGTCCGGGTCGCGGGGGCAGCAGCCTCAGCAAAGAAGCCCAGACAGTCCTCCGTCAGCTCTTCCGCGGGAACCCCGAGGCGTTCCCAGGCCAGCCGAGTGATGTAGTCCCTCCAGCGTGTTCTGGGGCGGCCCCGAGGTCTCCTCCCGGTTGGACATGCCCGAAACACCTCCCAAGGGAGGCGTCCGGAAGGCATCCTTACCAGATGCCCGAACCATCTCAACTGGCTCCTCTCGATGTGGAGGAGCAGCTGCTCCCGGAGGGTTACCGGGGTCCCGCCCTGGAGCCAGGCCTGGGGTTGGGGCCCGTGGGCGAGCGCCTGGTGGTTGGGCCTTCGCCCATGGGGTCCGGCCGGGCCCAGCCCGAACCGGCTACATGGGCTCGTCCCCCTGCAGGCCCACCACCCGCAGAGGGATCCAGAAGGGTTCGGTGCAATGTGGATTGGGCAGCAGACCAAGGCGGGGGCCTTGGCGGTCCGATCCTCGGTTACAGAAGTTGGCTCTTGTTCATAAAATCATCCCGTCTTTTATCAAAAAGGACAGGATATTGTGAAACAAGGTTTATCAACCTTTATCCCATACTTTCCTGTCTGACAAGATTTTGGACTCTCCCGGGTTTGCGCGACGTCACTATAAACAAACAATTTCATTGGCCCAGCTGTGTAGTTCCACCAGCGAATTCCGCGGGGGTCAAAGTCTGGGCGAAAATTTTTTTCACCGCACAAAAGTTCCACTGTGGTGTGCAAACTTCCATAAGAACCGCGAGAATAATCCGTGCGGATAAGACCAGTCCAAGACAGCTCGGACTGAGTCTTATGAGCACCTTACACCAAACAGTTGAGATCATGGGAGTGCGCCACAACTCCAGCAAATTCCTTACCATTTTATTCCAACATTGTAAATTTGTCTGTGACAGTGAAATGGCTTGAAAGGTTGGTTCAAGTGGTCAAGTTGGTTGGTGTACGGCCGGCATCAGGCAACTGCCGAGTTCTTAATTTCCTGTAATGAATCAAACAAATACTTGAGTGTGTGAAAGGTCTGGCTTCCATTCAGTGGCCACCCAGCAACATGATATATAGATAGGTTCTGGGTCAGAGCTCAATGAGCTGCAGAAAAAGAAAAAGCTCAGTTTCTCGCTCAAAATCACTTGAGCCGAGGGCAGCTGTCGGGGGGGGGGGAAATCAAAACCCCAAACTTCCAAATGAAGAACTGTCTGGCTCTTTAATAACCCACCGAGCCGTACACCAGGTCACTGTCTGTGTATTACTGCAGCTTATTCTGTTTCTGTATTCATTAACTCCCTCTGGATACAAATGTGTGCCAAAAAGCAGAGTCCGTAAATTGTAATCGCTTTGTCCAGCTCATTACACAAATTCTGAAACCCAGCCTAATTAACTGAAGCATTTAGGTAAAACACAGAAAACAAAATATTATCCCATCTTCCACAATCTCCCCTTGTTGAATACGAACAAAACCGACCAAGGGGAAGACAGTAAATCATCTAGAAGCCTCTGCAACATCAAAACACAACACAACAGCCTTTGAAAATCGTCTTTGCGCTGTTTAAAGCGTGGGGTATTAGTAGCACCGAGATGCCCTGGGAGCCTCTGGTCTTTTTTGGTGTGTACTCGCATAAACAGCTGACTGTGTACAGTGTAAGGGGTCCCAAAGTGACAAAAAATATCCACTAATTGGCCCCAGCTCTGACTGTGAGGTATTTATACCGAGGGCGCTCTCGGCTTATGTCTCTTCAAGAGAGTATAATTATCTGAACACAAAATGGAAAATGGAATTGATGGGGAGGAGGAGGCTTATGATCTAACGAGGGAGAAAGAGAGCATGAATGTCAAGTGGAAAATGCTGAGGAAATCAATTAGATGGACAAACAGCCCATTACAAGTGACAATTATAATGAGGAGATTATATGAAATAATGAACTAAGTCACCAGTTTGATTCAGAGCCATTTTGTTGGACGATAAAAATGAATAAAACCATCACAGTCCTCCTTACAGCCATCTAAGGTCATGATTTTATGACTCGCCGGTTTCCACTTCAGCAAAGATTCTGCACTGAAAACACTTTATTCTAATGTTCTTCCGGAGGTGACAGAGGGGACGTAAGAATAAACCGAGCCAGATATCAAAGAGAATTTGAGGCTGCAGCGGCAGCGTTTGATTTGGAGCAGAGCTTTCAGAGGTCTTTGCCAAACTACAAACTCCTAACTTTACACAGACATGACAGGTTAATGTTTAAGTACAATAATCAATGTCTACTACAGTTAGCACAAATCACTGCATGTCTCCAGGTAGTATTAAACCTTTCCAGTAAAAGTAAAAACAAAGAGGAAGAAAAGACGCTAAAGAGAACAGAGCTGGTTTTAGTCTGACACCAGAAATAACAGCCTTTTCATGTGTGTTTACTTTTATTACATTCTTCTTTTTGCCATCTCAGCCGCTCTGAAGGCTGCTGCTGCTGCAGGTGATGCACTGCTTCATCAGTGGCTTCAGCACTTTACATGTGAGGTGTCTGTGTTGTGCACGGGTGCAGATCAGAGCTCATGTTGGAGTATTTTGGAAAGATGAATCATCTCTGTGGATCAATACACGCACAGCATGGAAGCTGTTCTGTAAATGTGTGTTTTTTAATCTTTTGTTCCTTCAGTTTTGAGCAATAATTGTAGCTGAGCCAGCTGGATGGTCTGAAGCTTCAAAATAAAACGATAATCTGTGAGGTCACATAAAGCTGGGCCGGCACTGCTGTTTGATGTTTGCAGACTGTACGATGACAACGCCGACTGAATCCCAGGCTATGACGTACAATGCAATAGCTCAACCAAAGATATGGCCACATTTCTTTCATGATGGTCATCTCTCATCTGGGACAGCCCAGAATCGCACAGTGTATACTGAGCTTACGACGTCAACTCCCTCAGATCTTACCTCTGAAATCCAGTATGTATTTTGCATTTTTCTGCAGCAGTCGGATGGGGGTGAGGTGTGTGGGAGGAAAAACACAAGAAATCAATGGATTATTAAGGACTGTAATTAGTTAATTACATTAAAGTTCTAAGAATCTAAATTATGTGTGCAGATAATTGCAGCCTATAAGCTGTGTGATGTGTTTGGGTGCAGAGGGTCAAAAGTTCGCCGCTCAGTGTGTGTTTGGGTAAATTAGGTAGGAACAGTGTGTGACTGGTGACTGGCTTTGAGGCATTTCGTTGGCTTCATGTTGTTTTCCTTCTTTATGCTTGTCTCAGTGTTTCTTCTCACTTGTTTTGTGATGATGCGATGTTTATGGCTTCTTTGTGTCTTTGTGACATGGCTTTCGGCAAATGTAATATTCTTGTACAGCTGTATGAACGGCTACAGCATCCAAAACTGTCTCCATCTACATTTTGCCTCCTTACATTTTTTTGTAATCAGTACGATGGCAAAAAGCTGCAGTGTCTGGTTTTTTTTTTCAATCCCAGCCTGGATGATTACTGTGGTAAACGAGAATTACCGCCTCACAGTTGTAAGCCTCCACCAACCTGCCAAGTTCCTCTTACAGTTGATGTCAATGTCTGTGAAAAGATGGATGTTTCACACACATCTTCAACCCGGCAGCACAGAAGATCTATACAAACATCACAGTTTTTAGGTGGACACCCAAGATTAGCTGAATTTGAGGAAATTCTGTTAAGGCCTTCTTGAGATATCATGTTCACGAGGATGAGACAGATGCAGAACCCCAGTGACTTGACTACGGACTGCAAAAATGAAGCCAGTTCCTCCTTGATGCAAAGTGGATGTTTGTGCCAAATTTGACTAAATTGCCTCAAGGGGTTCAAGGGGCTCAAGAATGAGACAGACAAAGTCACGGTGACCTTGACCTTGGACCAACAAAATGTCATCAGTTTATCCTTGACTTGAAGTTGACTTTTGTGCCGACTTTGAAAAAATTGCCTCAATGTGTTTTTGAGATATCCTGTTCACAAGAATAAGACAGATGGGGTCACAGTGACCTTGACCCTGACCTTTGACCACCAAACTCTAATCAGTTAATTGTTGAGTCCAAGTGGATGTTGGTGCAAATGTGAGGAAATTCCCTTATGGTATTCTGGAGATATCGCATGCACAAGAATTAGACAGATGCAAGGTCACAGTGATCTTGACCTTCGACCATCAAATTCTAATCAGTTCATCCTTGACTTAAAGTTTTAAAAATTTCCTCAATGTGTTCTTGAGATATCACGTTCACAAGAATAAAACAGATGAGGTCACACTGACTTTGACCTTTGACCAGAGAATTCTAATCATTGTTGAGTCCAAGTGCATGTTTGTGCCAAATTTGGAGAAATTCCCTCAAGGTGTTTTTAAGCTATCACATAAATGAGACATAAGTAGATGCGGATGGGTGGACAACCTAAAAACACAACAGCCACAGCCACAGCTGTCGCCAGCGCAGAGGCCTCAGTGTGACCACCTGAAGACTTCCGTCAGCTCAACCTTTGAACTCTCACCTTCTCGGTGTCGATGCCTTTGGACATGGACCAGGTGGAGACGATGTAGTCCATCACCCGCTCGCTCAGCCCCTTCGGAACCTGGTAGAGCTTCAGGAAGTCCCTGACGTTGTTGAGCATCTCGTGGTAACGGTTGGTGTTGGCGTACATCTGCTGGAAGATGGTGGTCACATTTCCAAAGATGGTGGCGTAGAGCAGAGCTACAGAGGAAGACAGAGGAGAGGGATGAGCACACACGCGCCATTTTCTTCTTTCTCTTTTTACTCCTTACTTCTTGGTTTCAACCTTTTTTCTCATTTCTTTCTTTATGTTGTCCTCATTAAAGCGTTTCATGGAGGTAATTATGTTGACAGCAACATAACATCCACTTACACTCTCTAACATTCTCTCTCACACACGCAAACAAGCCCCATATCCTAAAATTGCCAATTGTAAAAGCATTTAATTGTGTTGCTGTGCTTTAAGTCTCCAGGGCTGCAGACCTGTTTGGAGGCTGATCAGCAGCATTTTGCACACCTTGGCCCAGTGTGACCCATGCATACCAGCCAGAGGAGCAGTCAGTCCTTGGTGGGCAGATCAACTCTCACAACACTCCTCCTTTTGGCAGCTTTTGGTCCCCTTTCCTTGTTTTACAGTATAACATCCATGCAACATCACTTACCCACTCCTAACACTACTGACTTAATAGAGTCCTCCCATCTATTTGTTTGACATGTTTCAAAATCACCATCACCAACCTCACCAGACTTCATTTAAAAACAAAACCAATTTAAGTGTGTATAGAATCGGCATATTCTCACTATTAACTGGGTGAATTAAGGGTTTATTTCAACCAAACCAGAGCTGATGATTTGACAAAAAGGCCTGTCTCTGTAGGGGTTATTTTCATAATGTTATCGGACACTTAGAGTACAACAATCTGAGACAGTCAGTAGCAAAACAAGCACTTTACAGTAAGTGGACAAATTTCCAGAGTGGTGACATTGAAGCCTTTTCTGTGGCTGCCGGCTACAGTGATTTCATTCAATACTTGACCAATTAAAAAAAAGAAGTTGATCCCATTAATCATTTAGACATAAAATCATGGGAAAGGGTTGCAATACACCAAAGTTATCCTTTAACATGAGTTCTACTTCTTTGAGTCGTTCTAGTTCTGGAAATTTCAAAAGGTTTTACTCTCATCGTCCTTCTTCTCATCTTGTTCCCTTTATCCATGCATGAAAGCTCCAGAAATATTCCAGTTGGACCTTGTGCTGAGAATTACTGTTAATACTGACTACAAACACCCTTCTAAGTATTCCAAACATCATTACAACCACCTGGAAACTCTTGCAACTACCCAGGAACCAACAAAGCCCTTCCACTCACCAAAAATCTAACATCTAACAATGCCCAAACAACCCTTTAGCAACACCACTGCAAAAAAGATCAAACCCAGCCAGATTCTTTTCAAGCAATAAACTTTAGACAATGTTCCTTTTTGTAGTTCACATTTACAACCTAAAAGATCAGGTTTCTTATGGTAATGATCTCAGGGTGCTTTCAGGCCTAGAGTTGTCTTGCTTTGGTCTGAATCAGGGACTAATTGTGTTACAAAGTTGTATAATTGCCTAGAGTTGGTTCGTGTTCTCACGGCAGCATTTACAAGAGGACCAGATAAAATGTGTTGCACGAGAAAGCTGCTCTTAATTGGTCAGAATTTCCATGTGGGAAAAATCCAGGAAGTAAGCAAAACGTTGAAGAAGAGTACACTTGCAAGATAAATGTGACACTTTCTAATGTCAGAACAAGGCTGATTTTTCTGAGCTTTGACAGCGCAAATAAAGGCATCAACCAATCAGTGGCGGATTTCTTGCAACTGTAAAGAATTTACATTGTTGATGATGTAAATAGATTTGATGTAGAATATTTGTAGGTGAGTATTTAGCATTCTTGTGTCTTTTATTCTTCATGCCTCCTTGTGTAAAGGCCCTGCGTCACACTGGGGTAAGGGAAAGAAAAATCAGATGAGGAGGGAGACGGACATTGTAAAAAGGCAGTTGTGATTTAATTAACGCCTGATATGCAACAGCGATTACAACAGTGCGAAAAAGAAGAAAAGGGACGATTGCTAGAAAACAAACATGTATGACGTCTCCCGCAAGATGACAAGCTGTATTAATAGCAGCTTTCACTGCTGAGGAGGCTTTCAAGAGGAGGAAGAGGAGTGTTTTTTCCCCATTTTAGAACTTCAAGCCATTGTTACGGAGCCGTCAGCCTCCTCTGTACCCTGCTGCTACAGTTTCCATAGAGACCTCACTCGAAATAGTTCCCTCTTTTTTCCCCTTCGCTGCCTCCTCACAGCAAATAAAAATGACAAAAGAAAGAAGAGGAGAAATAATAAGTTTAAAGACTTTTGGGTTGAAAAATGGAGTGATCTGTTAAAGGAAAATGTTGGACAGACAATGTCTGAATGTGACTGTGTGTTTGAGATAAAGTGCGAATATGTATATGTGAAAGGATAAAAAAGAAATTGATGGGAAAAAAAGAGAGAAAACCAAATAAAGAAAACCAGGAACGCAGTGCAAGCAAAGGAAAGTGTGTGTGTGTCAAATCTCACAGAGGCAATGAGTGTCAGAAATAAAAGAAACGAATACAAAGACACAAAGAGCGAGTGTTTGGATGAGAGACAAAAACAGAAAAAGGCAGAGACAGCCAAAGACAGAAAAGTGTGCCGTGTCAGCGGTGAGATAAACAGCGTTCCAGTTCAGTTCTTTCAAAGTCAGCAGCCTTTCCAGGACCTTCCAGGACCTTTCCAAGACCCTGTCAGCTGGGTAAATTAGGACTCAGACAACACTGCCGATCTGGAACTCAAAGCTCAGAGACTCAGCTCTCACCTCCACCAAACACAGGACTCCTAATTGGGTGACTTGTTGGCACAGCGGTTGGCCAGCGTCACCTCAGTGCAGAGAACGACCAGGGTTTGACCCCCCTCCAAGTGTCTGTGCTGAGCTCAAACAACCTCTTTGTGTTTGCCAGGATTTGAAGTAGTTAGTTCAATCTCTTTGGCAAATTATCCTCCAGTTCAGTTCATTTATCAGGTGAGAGGGAAGAAGAGACACCTGAAAATGTGACTTTCAGTCCTCTAACAAGAGAAAGTTGGACTCCTAGTGTGAAGAGTGCGAAGATAGGCTGTGGAGAAGGATTGTTAGCAAACCAACTGAACTCAAAACTACTAATTAGCTAATTAGTACCATTTGTCAGCTGTAAATAAGGTCTGGCCATGTGTACTTTGAAATGTCAAAGCAGCTTGAGACAGAGCTCCAAAGAAAACAAACTGAAAGACCCACCGTTACAGAAGCAGTGTGCAGGAGGATAGGCAGTTTAATGAATGTCCTGTAGATGCGGGTGTGGTTTTGGCAGGTGGTAAGACGCAGGGTCAGCACTGACGTCACACTTGTGGGTTGGTGGTATTGACTAATTAGCTACTATTTGCCACACCTAAAGGGAGAGGGCTGGAAAGGCTTTTGAGCTGAACGGGTACACCATGAGGAAGATGCTAGAGGCGAGGCATTTTGAAGACAAAAAGAGACTGAGGAAGCATTTGACACGCCACCACGAATTATCCACATAAATTCACCTTTACTGTGAACAACCACGAAGAAGAGCGAGCTGGCCGACTGGACCAGCACCTGAGGGGTGTCCAGGTCCGAGTGAACTGGTCGCAAGGAGCAAGAGCGGTGGCGGGGGACAGGTCACACTAACCCAGGGATGTCCAGGTGCATGTCTCACGTCTAACGCAACATGTAGGGAAGGGCACTAAGTTACGGGCTTGCTAGGCTTAGCTAATGAGGTTTCACCAGCCTGGTTTAGCACAATAGTGTAAGAAGGTAAGGACTTCCTGCTGTACTCTCAGCAAACACATGCTAGGCCTTACCTCGTGTTAATGATGTTTGAAGTTCAGCGATTTCTCTCGACCCCTATTTGGCATTTCTACACTAATACTGCACAGTGACGGCTAAATGTGTCTCTGCTGATTCAAGTAATTAACCTTGCTTACCTGACCTTGATTAGCTTGTGTTTGGCCTGTGTGAGCCTGAATAAACCAGATTACAGGTAAACGTTTCCACAATCGCCTGAGCCAAAGAAATTTAAGAACTGGGTTGATCCTGCTCTTTTACGTCCACAACAGTTTGTACTTACTGTATCACAAGGTCTTCAAAACAGCTCTAGAGAAACCTAGTAAGCTGATTAAGTACAAATATTTTGTTAAACTACTATTTCCAAACTCTTATCCAAAGTTTTTGACCTTCAGTAAGATCAGAACTGGTCAGTTTGTTTTTTCTTTCTCCGTCCTACCTCTCTGCTCTCTCCTGTCAAGTCCGCCCCAGCACCTTAATGTTAGTACATATACTCCACTGGTCAAAAGAAACGTATACATGGTTGTGTTCGTAGACGGTCACTCCAATTGCCAGAGTGCTCTCTGGCACAAACTGGACTGTTCACAAATTCAAAGCATTGTTAGATTTTATCATTGAGTATTCAGAGCACCACACTCCCAGAGCAGCAAAGCATACTCTTGACTCTCTGAGGAGACGGATTGTTAAGAGCTGTGAAGGTAACACTTTTTCAATTCATTAATTCATTAATTCATGTAGAAATAGAGTGTCCTACGTCTTTGAACAACATTCACACTCACTTTCACACCTATGGGCAATTCAGAGTCAACAGTTAACTTAGTTAGTTAACTTAGTTAACTTTGGACTGTGGGAGGACACTGGAGTGCATGGAGAAAACCCACGCTGACACAGGTAGAACATGCAAAACTGTGCACAGAGGGGCTCCTCCACCCTGGGTTTGAACCAGGAACTCTCTTGCTGTGAGGCGACAATGGTAACCACTGCGCCACTGTGCCATCCAGTTAATATTAAGGACTATTTCTCTATAGGGACCAATCCTATATGTATATCTCATATATGACAACATGAAACTTGTTTGTAAAGGTTTCTTAAAAGGCATTAATGGTTCTAGAAATGAATTTGTCAATTTAAGTGAAATCGAAATGGTGATTTTTTTTAGAGATGACCTTGTAACCCTGGTATTTGGCCTTTGAGCCCTTGAGAAAAACTGCTGTGTTGCAGGCTAAGTGGTCTTGCCCCTAAAATTACGAAACTCCAGGCCTGCCAACATCACTCTGCATCAGTCTATAAAAAACACTTAT